GAAAGCCTGGCAAGGGAACTCAATGCCACTTTTACTTGGGTCAGAAGGACTGCAAATGGGATGGCTGACTCATTGGCTAAGTAAGGGGTCTATGGACAGTTGTTTTGGGCATTAATATAGCCTCTTTTTGGGTTGGATTTTTTTATCTTCGTTTTCAGTGTAAATCTATACCCTGTTTTCTCAATTATTAATAAAATTTACCTTTTCTTTGCTGATAAAAAAAAAAAAAAACTTACGTTGTCACATCAGGGAGGCCAGATCATTGACATCCAGAGTGATCATCTGGATCAGATGGTTTCCAAAGATACCAATGGCAAGCAGTCTTTTGGTGGTGGGGGGGAGGGGTCTATGGGAGACTTATGTGGTGTAGTTTTGTTTACTTTTTTTTGGATGGATAAATAGAAAGTTCATTAAACTGATAAGAGGTACATTACATTATCAGTTTGTTTACTTTATCTGTATTTTATATTTCTATTATTTTTTAGTAAGCCTCCTTTCCTTGTCAGATTTGAGTTTTCTATTGCTCTTTTGCCGTCATAGATTTCTTTTGTTATTAACAAGAAAAAGGTGTCAGTATAATTAGATTGGTTGGGTTGATGAAACTGTAGTCCTAGAATGGAAATTTTACTTCACATCTTATACCCATATCCTGCCAAAACAGATCTACTCTGAAGTGGTGCAAGTTGGGTCAGGTTGAGGTCAAACCTAACCCAATCCAAGTTGTTAAACCCCCATGGCCGAGGCTTCAGGTTGGCCTGGTTACTTCATTTCTTTTTGTTAGAATGCTCTTATTTCTTATACTTGAAATTAGCGGATTAAGGTTAACTAACTTTAGCATTATTATATGTACAAGATGCTTTTGGAGTACCAAACTTGTTTCACACTAGAAAAATCTTTACCTTTAAACCTAGAATTGTTGGTATACATGCCTTCATTGATACATACATAAATTTTGTCTGAGGCCTAATCCCTGACCCAACCCTTAAGTTGGGTTCACATGTTTCAATCCTAACCTGAACTTCAACCTGACCCGGCCTTCTTGGGTTGGCTTCAGGCTAACCTGGCCCAAGTTGCACAATGAACACTGGGCATTGTTATATGCTCTTAGAAACAAGAAGGAAAAACTTCAGGAAGGAAATGTTCTATGCAATACAAATTTAGAGAATCAGTTATATCTCTAAATTATTCCTACAGGAATTGGAACAGATGGAAAGAATGGAAGCAGCAGAGGCAGGTTCAGCAATCGAGAGCTGCTGCTCCTGAAATTGAAGGAGATGAGGAGGCTGGAGATGTTCCAGATGGGCAATTGTGTGTGATCTGTTTGATGAGGAGGCGGCGGTCTGCTTTCGTTCCATGTGGGCATCTGGTTTGCTGCCAAGGTTGTGCCTTGTCAGTTGAGCGTGATTTGGCGCCTAAATGCCCTGTTTGTAGGCAGACCATCCGGAATTCCATTAGGGTTTACAGTTCTTGAGGTACCAAGTATAAATTCTGTTTTCCTTGTTTCTTTTAAGAACACTGAATTTATGTAATCTGAACGTTAAATGTGCCACTGTGAATATTATTTTCATATTGTCTTACTGTAAATATAGGTTTTTTTTTTTGTGATGAATTTTTTGGCAGGATGTAAGGCTCAGTTTGGAAGAAAGTACAAATACAAATTTGTAGAGTGCAAAACAACCTTGTATTTTGTACGCATTTGTACTGTACATATTTGTATTTGTACTCCTTCCAAACTGAGCCAAAGAACAAGAAGGCTACACAAAAGGGCGGTAGCCCTCCCCCAATCATCACGAAAGCAAATAAAATTGAAATGCCAACCTAAGTTAACTGAGCCAGAGAAGCCTAACCTATGACCAAGATTGGCTAGCATTGTTTGCTTTCCTATAAACATATGAGAATAGGAAACAATCAAAACTAAAATTTTGACAAAGGTTATAGCACTCTTCAAGGATAGTCTTGAGACTCTTGATGCTTCATGGAGGATCATCTACACTTTTCAAACCATTTATAACAAGTTTCGAGTTTTTTGAACTTCGATGCATGAATATGTGATTCAAGAGCTGCCCATGCTTCTTCACATGAACCCGTGCCCTTACTAAAGAAAGAGAGCACCTTTCCAACAAGATCACATATAACCACCCAATGGCACACTGCCCACTTCCTTTCCTCGAAGCATCAATATTAATCTTGGCTCCATTTCCTCTTAGACTCACCCACTTAATTAGGATGGAATACGCCTTAGATCAAGATTCCTGGTCCATATTTTGCATGAAAGAGATATATTCTAGAAAGTTAGCTCTAAGCTCTTTCAATTAAAACCAGGGGAGGCGCCCAAGTATTTTTTAAAAATCTTATTGTTTCTATTTTTCACGCTTGCTAGAGACTCATTCCAGTATTTTCAACAGCTTGTTGTTAGTGGTTACTCTCCATTTTGTTAATAAGCCAGAACTCCCTCACCGATTCATTATCACAAGGTCTGGGGATGATGGGATCTAAAGTTAGTTAGCCAAACTTGCTTAACAAAATTGGCAATTGATAAAAATATCATCTACATTCTCTTCTTCCCCAGAATTGGGGAACTCTAATACTCTATATTCATACCATTCTTTTTTTGAGCCTCCACAATTGTTTGAGATTTTCCTTACGGGGTTATTCTTTGGTCGACACGAGTAATGAGGGCTGTGATGGTTTTGTTGGTTTTTTGGTTCTCTTTGTTACTTCAGCATCACGAAAGGGATTTGTTCCAACTAGTAAAACTCAACATGTAGGATTGAATACGTATCTGTCTCTTTTTTTTTTTTTTGAGAAAAACAAGCCCATAGGCAGTCGTTTCATTCAACAAATTGGGTTCAAAGTTACAAATAGGGGTGTCAACCGATTTGAAAAACCCAATTTCGAATTCAAGATTTAATATAATCAATTTGAATTCAGATACTTTGAATATCTAATCAGTCGAATTCGGATATCCTGTTCATATTGAAATTGAATAGCTGATCGGATTTGAATTTGGATATGGCCTGATTTGATTTGATAAATATCCAAATTTGATCAATTATTTAATTCTTATATATAATATATAAAATATTTAAATGTTTTATATAACTTATATATAATAATTAAATCATATAAATAATTTATATATTTAATAAATAAAATATTTATTTTATATCATTATTGATTGCCTAAAATAATTAATTGGTTGAATTCAAATCAAATTGAATATTTGAATATTTAATCGAGCCAAATATTTGAATATTAATTTTCAATATCCGTCGGATATCGAGTAAGCAACAATGTTGGTACAAACTGAACCGAGTAAGAGGGAAAGTAAGTTTTTACAATTGATTAACATATTATGTAGTTTCCACAAAGGTGTAGTTGAAGCATAATGGTCCGGAAAGATGAGGTGTAAATCACAAAAATTAAGAAAAAAAATAATTAATATTTATAAGTGATAAAAAAATACATATATAACATAGCAAGTTAGAACAATAGAATAAACAAATAACTATAAAATAGTAGTTTATAAGCAATGATTTATAGCTCGAGAATTAAATAAAATAATTACTCATCAACTAACAATTATAAATGTTTTACATTTCATGTTTCAAAATTCAAAGTTTTCAAATCATTCAAATGACCAAGAAAAAAAGGAAACATATGAAGAATCGTTCATATAATTGATATTAGATTTATGGTCATCTAATAATTTAGATGAAAGGAAAGAACTTAGGGTGCGTTTGGTTCGTGGATAAGACCGGAATCAGAATCAGAATCGGAATCCCCAGGAATCGGAATCGAAATCATCTATTCCTGGCATCTGTTTGGTTCAGTCAGGAATCGGATTCCAATTCCTGCTGTTTGGTTCAACTAGAAGGTGGAACCAGAATCAGCCAAAATTTCTAATTCTGCCCTGTTAAAAGAACCTCAAAAACATCCACTAATTATATATTTTCAACATATACACACATTGGCAACCTGCTACCAAGTGCATATATGGAGAAAATGCTTATCTTCTTTCATATCATGAACAAGATCCACATCC